AAAAAAAAAAACACGAAGATACAAATTTACTAAGAGCTTGTTTGGAAGAGATTTTTGGGGGGAAGAATTGATTTTGAATAGTGATATGATGGGAAATATGTGGTTGAAAAAGAAAAAAAATTATTGATGTGATGGAAAATATTATTTTATTGAAAAATGTGTGGTTGAAAATGAGAATTGATTTACTGTAGAAAAATTTAAATCCCTTCCAAACAGGGCCTAAACAAAAGTCTAAAAAGGTAACAGGGAAAAACAACGTTATCATTCTCTATAACTCTGACTATAAGTCTCTGTCCTATAACCTCACATTCAAAATACATAAAAATCAAATACATGTATACATGAAAATCATAATAAAAAGTTGATCTAATTGAATGAATGAGCTTACTCTTGAAAGAAAGAGCAATTGGCGTTGAAGCAAACTGTGGATTCTGAGTTGGACACTGAAAATTAATATAAATGAATGGCTATATAATGACACAAAGAAAGGGGAAAAATATAACACAAACCTGAGGAAATGAACGAGGTTAGAGCAAAAAAACTATTTTTCGAACAAATGGAAAGGAAGGAGAAGCAATGGGTGGTTGCATGGGAAAATATAGCAGGAGTGGGTTGTTACGTGAGATAATAGAAAAGGAGGAATGGCCTTGGGGGAATTTTTGACGAATTTCAGGGAATTTTTTTTTTTTTTTTTTAAAGAAAGGGGGATTTTTGACGACGATGGAAAATCGCGACACGTGTAAGATTTGTTTTAGCCTCTTTTAATTTATAGTGATATTAGGGTGATGTACAACCTCTTTGCAACAGGAAAATTTATGTCCAATAAAAAAATCGTGAACCCCTCTATTGTTAAAGAGCAAAGCTACACGTGCAGAAATGGAAGCAACAGAAATGGTACAGAACACTCACAACAACAGGAGGTGATCAAATTTTACAATATTTTATTCACGTGGGACCAACCTCCCATGTAAGATTTTTGGTAATTTTCTGTGAACTGCATTTTGTACGTATAGAAAAAATCATTGTTAAAAGTGTGTACACCGGGATGTCACGTGCCAAAAGCCAGCTAGCTAAGCTAGGCATCATTTGTCACACGATTATTAAATTGGATCATGTCAAATCCTATTGTCCTAATCCGACATTAATTTGATTATGTTGCTATTAAGCTTTTGTTTTAGTCACTTCACGTGAAACCACGTTCTTTAGACGGCAGACAAACTTTTTTTTTTCCCTTTCAAACGCGTCGAAAATTATGTGCTTAACCGATCTAAGACAGGTTGATTGCAGGTAAAACCTAACATTGACATAAGTAATTTTTTCTAGAGATATCAATTTTCCCCGCGGGACCCTTCCCGAACGGGTTGGAGGGGCGGGCTGGGGTTTGCCGCCCCCGTCTGGGGTCGAGGGGCAGAGATTTCCCGCCCCGTGAAGAATAAAAAAATTTGTCAAAAATTTGAGTATTATTTGGTTTGAATTTTAAAATTTAAAATTTGTATTTTAACTGAAAATTAAAAAAAAATTAGGCAAGAAATGGGCAGGCCTGTCCCGTTGCCATCACTACTTTTTCTTTATTAAAGAGTGCAAATGTTAATCAATTAATTAAATATAGAAAAACTTACAATAGGATTTATTTATACTTTACATATGAAATTTTATATCTAAAAAATTTTAAAAAATTAATCAATAAAAATAGTTAAACATATCAAAAATCACATATTTACATTAATTTTTTTTTATCTATTTTTTGTCCAAAAATTAGTTCAATAACTATTTCATTTTCTTCTACAAAATTAATTTTTTTTCATTAATTTTTTTCCTCCATATGTTAACATCTAGTCGAGTATTCTCATTGAATGATTTACATACATTTTTTGTTTCATTGTTCGTACAAATTTACATACTTTTAATAATTATATATATATATATATATTCTTCTCTTCTATGAAATCGTCATGTATAGAGGGAAAAAATTATCCGACATATATTTCAATAAAATTACATGTGTATTCTTAACAAATTTTTAAGCTACAAAATCACCTCAACTTAAAATGAAAAAGAAATTGATTTTTAGTTACAAAATAATAACCAATATATAAAATTATTTTAATTGATTATATTTATTTTCATTCATTGAACAAGAAATATTAATTACAAGATAATAATTAAGGTTTTTTTTTTTAAATTATTCAAAGAGTCAAATGAAGAGTCTTCTATATTTTTCGATAATATTTTAATCTACTAAAGTTAATTTTTATTGATTTGATGTTAGATTTTAATAAAAGAAGATAATAATATATGCACATACAAAATCATCCTTCAATAAAATTCTTTTAATAAAATAGTGTAATTACATTATAAATTTTAAATTTTAAAATATTATTTTTTTAAAAAATTGGATAAGAATATGATTTAAAAAAAAAACTGAGACAAAACTCTCCAAAAAGCAGTATCCAATAAAACCTGTGCATCAAGCGAAAAATGGTCATTGAATTTCATAGAAAACTGCGTGTCGGACTCTGCTTACTGGACCTCTCCCTGTCCCGCTGTCTCCTTTTTCATCACTTACCTCCACCACCAACCTCCACCACCGGTCCACCACCATGGTTCTTAAGTTTATAAAACCAACCCTTGTTTTTTAAGAGCCAGATATATTAGTTTTGCATTTGATATGGGGGCATCATTATCGCTTTTGACGGAGAATGGGTCGAGCAACGGAGGTCCGAGTCTGGGGGACATACCCGAGAGCTGCGTGGCGTGTGTGTTTCTGCACCTGACGCCGCCGGAGATTTGCAATCTGGCCCGCCTCAATCGGGCCTTCCGTGGGGCTGCCTCATCCGACGCCGTTTGGGAAGCCAAGCTTCCTTCCAACTACCACCATCTCCTCGACCTCCTCCCCCAGACCGACGGAGACACCAACCACAAGCTCTCCAAGAAAGCCATCTTTGCCATCCTCTCGCGGCCGCATCCCTTTGATGACGGCAACAAGGCACGTTAAAAAATAATTCTTTTTTAGTTTAAGAAACAAGAATTATTATAATTATAATTATTTTAATTTTTCGTGTCACAATTTATAGCTTCACTGTAATCTCCTACACTCTCCATGGTAAGATGATTATCTGGTGGATCTAATTTTTGATTTTCTTGAATTACATGCTACTTAATATTTGGAAATGATTAGGGTTGGGGGAATTTTGCATTCTGTGCAAAACCTTATGTAAATTTGGGATAAGAATGTGAACCAACCGCAGAATTTCTTTAGATGGTTGGTGAAATTTGAAGTTGATAGTTTGTGTGTTTTTACTCGTTTTTATATACTAAACTAATAAGTTTTTCGGTTCATACTAGATTTAATTAGACTATTTTGTTCATCTTGATTCTAGTCTCAATGCATGGACGTTTGTTTTGATGGTAAATATCTGCTTCTGCCTTCTGGGGTGGTGAAAGTTGAAATATAGGTCATTTTCTTTCTCAGATCTTATAGGCAGGTTTATAATTTGAGTTTTATGGTGTCTAAAATTTTTGTAAGATCTTTTCATTTTACTGTGTTGAGTGATTAGAAATCTATTATTTGTACTTTTAATTTGGGTTTATGCAGGTGATTCTTTATATTGATTCCTGTCTTTTTGACTTGGGGAAATTGCAGGAAGTATGGTTAGACAAGTTTTCTGGGCGGGTTTGCATGTCAATATCAGCCAAGGGAATGGCAATAACTGGGATTGAAGACAGGAGATATTGGAATTGGGTTCCTACAGAAGAATCTAGGTTTGATTCTAGCCATTACTAATATTAATACCTGATACCAGTAGATACCATCATGTTATCTTTAGTTGATCAACTATGAGAAACCATTTTGATTCTGGATGTTACATTCATAAAAGATGTTTATAGTTTTGAAATATTTTATATATATTTTTGTTAAATGGTAATCCTATTTAAGTTTATACTGTGAATTCAATATATTTGAGTTTTTTGTGTCATTGCATGTAATTCTAGAATTTCAATTTTTTGAGTGTAGTTGGAGCTCAACTTTGATGGTGGTGGAACAAGAAAAAGAATTTTGTTGAAAAAGATGGACTCTACCTTTTGGATTAGTTTTCTTGGTAAACTGTCCTTGAGAAAAATATTTTGATCTTTTCCTTTTCTTTTTCCAACGGATGGACTGCATTTCTTCTATGTTCACTTTTCTGATGATCCTGTAAGAACTAATTTCTGAACAGCTAGGATTGTATGGAGCTATTCAGGGGTCGGATCCGGGACTAGACTAAAAACGTTTTTAAGCCGGGCTAACATGTAAAAAAAAAAAAAATTCACATAATTTTTTTTACAAATAAATATTTTTATACATGAAAAATTTTAATGGGCTGGGGTGTATCTGCCACTGGAGCTATTGCAGGTTTAAATGACTCCTATTTTGTCTTGTGCTGATATCTGGTAAACACTGTTGTATCAGGATAAAAAAACTTGTAGGTGTCAAAATATTTTTTGGGAAATCATTAATATGCATCGCCCGATATAACGAACGAAGATCTGAAAGTGTGAGAAAGAATCTTAATTCTTCCTCATGAGTAGTGTTGCGTCAACTAGCATCGATGTCGTGTAGTTTGTTAATTCTTAATTTGATTGATAAAGTTAACCAAGCATTGATTATAAGAAAATAGTAGAACTTCGGTTATCAGACCTTTGGAGTTTATAATGTTGAAGAATGAAATAAGAATTTTATATATTTCTTGATTGAATTGCACACACATATTACACCTTATTTATAGTACAACAATAAAAAGAAAAAATAATCTTCTAATTTGGGATACAAGAAATTAGCCTAACAATCAACATAAGTTATGGAAAGAGTTATTCAATTATATATCTATCATATATCGATTATGATTAATCTCTCTATCAGATATCGATTATGATTAATCTCTAGGATTTCTACATTTCTCCTCAAGTTGGATCGTAGATGTTGATCATAGCCAACTTGCATATGAAATAATCAAAATTGTGCCTTGGTAAATCCTTTGGTGAAGATGTCTGCATTTTGTTCTTTTATAGGAATATAGGTCATACAAATAACTTCGTCTTCCACATTTTCTTTGTTGATATGTCTATCTACTTTTACATGCTTAGTTGGGTCATGTTGAATGGGATTGAGAGAAATGTTGATGGTAGCTTTGTTACCACAATATAGCTTGATAAGTAATCTTACAGTGACCTGTAGCTCTTTTAAAAATTTCTTTAATCACAATCCTTTACAGATCCCTTGTGCAACAACTCTGAACTCAGCCTTAGCACTGCTTCTGATTACTACATTTTGTTTCTTGCTTCTCCAAGTGACTAAGTTTCCCCATACAAAAGTGCAATATCTAGTAGTAGACCTTCTATCATCAGCTGAACCTGCCCAATCATTATATGTAAAGATCTCCACTTCCTTTCTTTTACTTCTCTTAAAAAATAGACCTTTACCTGGAGTCCCCTTGAGATACCATAGTATCTTTTACACGACTTCTAGGTGAGCTTCTTTTGGCAAGTGCATATTCTGGCTTACCATACTTACTGTAAAGGTGATATCAGGTCTAGTATGTGACAGATAGATTAGTTTACCAACAAGCCTCTGACACCTCTCCCTTTCAATTGATTTTCCTGCATTTTCCGTTCTTTCGGTTTCAATGGATGTGTCACTCGACTTATAGTCGATCATGCCGGTTTCAGTTAAGAGGTAAAGGACATTTTCGCTGAGAAACACTGATCCCTTTCTTCGATCTAGCCACCTCTATTCCCAAGAAGTACTGCATTTGTTCCATATCCTTAACTTTAAATTCAGTGGATAAGACCTTCAATCTTTCCATTTCCTCGATATTATCTCCGGTTAGGATGATGTCCATATATACAATCAAGATTTTCTTCTTCCCATTTTTCTGCTTGTTGAATATAGTGTGATCTGATTGTTCCTGATAATAACCTTTCCTTTTTATCACTTTAGAAAATCTATCAAACCATGCTTTAGGAGACTGTTTGAGTCCATACAAGGACTTTTTCAATTTGCATACTTTGTTTTCTTCTCCCTTTTTAAAGAAACCCGGAAGAAGTGTCATGAAAACCTTTTCTTCTAGTTCGCCATTCAAAAAAGCATTCTTTATGTCGAGTTGTTGAGGTGGCCAATCTAGGTTGGTAGCCAAGGACAAAAGAACTCCGATTGTGTTCAACTTAGCCTTGAATGCAAAGGTTTCCGTGTAGTCAATGCCACAGGTTTCTATAAATCCCTTCGCAACAAGACGAACCTTGTACCTCTCCATCGTCCCATCAGCTCTGTACTTCACCGTAAACACGCATTTACACACTGTTTTCTTCCCATGTGGCAAATTCGTCACCTCCAAAGTTTCATTTTTTTTAACGCCTTCATTTCTTCGATCATTGCTTCTCTCCACAGGAATTTCCAATGCCTCGTGGATATTTTTAGGAATTTTCACACTATCAAAGTTAGAAGTAAAAGTACGATACTCTGTAGACAATGCATTGTAGGACACATTTTGAAATAGAATGGAGAGCACAGGAACGAGGTTGTTTTCTAAGTGCAATAAGTAAATCAATATCATCAGATTTAGGAGTATTAGAGATGTGTTCTATTACCTAATCTAACCTAGGGAAATACTCTTGGTCTTGCGGAGCTGCCACCGGTTCAGACTCAATTGGTACCTCAGCTATGAGATTCTCATTAGGCCTTGATTTTGGCTTTCGTGAGTAAACCAATACCTCTTTGTTCTACTTTTTTTTTTTTTTACATATTCCTCTTAGTGTAAGCTTCCTTCTGTAACCGGCAAAGGAGCGGAGGATGATGATGGTGTGAGAGAATCAGTGTTTGGGAAAAAAATCGAAGAAAAGAGAGCAACTAGCCGAGTGATTCCAGATCCGAGATTTACTTAAATTCTCCCCTTGAATTGAGGACTTGGAATAGAAACAGGGGCGGATATGGGGAGAGGCAGTACTGAGCTATAGTCCAGTGCTGCCGAAACCCACATCCAAAATTACTAATTAAAAATACAAGAAAAAGGAAGTTTTAGCCCATTAGTCCACCATCAACCCAAGTGTAATTGTTTGTTTCAATTTTTAAGCCCTACTCAAAACTCATTCATTTACTTTTCTAATATGTAGATTCAAACTTCAGATTTGCTGTTAAATTGAACGCTAAAATCCCCAAAGTCATTGAACCTTCTACCTAGCCATAACGAAGCCGGTGACCGACGAACGTCTTTGGCTTTAAGCCTTTAACCAATATGCAATAGGTGCAATTTTTAAAAAATATATATTTTTATTTTTGGGCATGTATTGTGATCTATTAATGCCTAAATTTATTGAGGGTTTTGTAAACGAATAATGTGGTTGGTTTGGTTGCATAGAAAAAATTACACCTTTCCTTGCGCTTTGGGGTTTTTTTTCTATCTTATCGTATTGGTATAAAATGGAGCAAAATAATCATTACATTTGTACTTTTCTTTCAATTTTCTAAAGATTGGAAAAGTGGGCAGAGATTCATCTGGAGGTATACATGAGATTCTTATACAAAAAATTCTCTTTTGAATGTTGGGATGAAGTGTTTTTTATGCATTTAGTACCGACATATGAGGGCTGTCATTTATTTAATAAGGAAAGTTAAGAAGGTCTAGTAGAATCTTAGGATTGACATATATATTTTACTTGTTGGAGATCCACTTTGTCACGAATATCATGGCATAGAGAATCTCTTTTGGCATGAGTTCATTGAAAAAAATTTAACTTTCAGCCCACCACCACATGTTTATTTGGCTTCTCCTCTAAATGGAAGGAATAGTTTTAAAGATTATTACATCAAAACTGACGGAGGTGTGATGTGATACGAGATTATAGCACATGTAACATCATTGTGTAGGTGAATATCCAAGAAAAACACATTTTGTTGCTCGAGGTTCTAATTTAGTTTATTGGTGTGTATAGACATGTACAAATATCGTACAGCCAAAGCTTTTAAGGGGAAGAGTGGAAGTAAGTCGAGAGTGGCGAAAGGCATTTTGAAATTTTTGAAGAGGGGTGACAAATGAAAGGACTCGAGTAGGCATTCTGTTTATGAGACATGTTGCTCTCAAGATAGCATCGCCCTAAAAAAAAAAATTTGGCATGTTGGTAGTGAATATTAGTGCACGAGCTAGATCAAGGATGTGTCTATTTTTTCATTCGTCAATCTCATTTTGTTGAGGGGTGTCGACACATGAACTCTAGTAAATAATACCATGTTTATGAAGATAAAGACTCAAACACTGATTGAAATATTTACTACCATTGTCGGTACGTAAAATTTATATTTGGGTATTGAATTGTGTTTAGATCATTAAGTGAGAATTGATAAAAATGGAACGGACTTCAATTTTATCTTTCAACAAATAAACCTAACAAAGTCGTTTATGATCATCTATGAATGTGATAAACCATTTTGTGTGTTCGACTAAGAATATAGGAAGGATCCCAAAAATCACTATGAATCATAGTAAACGGCTTAGTGGGTTTTATGCAGACTTTGGAAATGAAGTATGATGATGTTTTGCAAGTTCACACACTTCACATTGAATATCTAGTGACAATATATTGGAACAAAGAGCATGAAATAAATGTTGCAAATACTGAAAATTAGGATAACCCATCCTAGAATGCCATAATAGGAGTTCACTATTCTTAGAGGAAAAAAGTAGTTATAGATAGCATTTTGACATTGGTTACTCCCTTTAGTATGCTCAAAGTAGTAGACTCCTTTACATTCCTTAGCAATGCCAATCATCTTCCCCGATGATAGGTCCTAAAATACACAATGAGAGGAAAGAAATTTAGCAGAGCAATTGGGGTGTTTAATCAGTTGACTTATAGACAACAAATTAGAAGATAATTTTGGAACATAGAAAATTGAGTTTGAAGTGATAGAATCAGATATACGAATACTTCTTTTGCTTACAACAGCAGAGATGGATCCATCTACAATTTTTACTTTCATATTTTGAGCACATGTTGAATACATTGAAAATAGATGATAAGAATTAGTCATATGGTCAAATGCTCCCGAGTCTATAATCCAGGGAGTATGAGTACGGGATTAATGCTTTTAAGGGATTATCTCTATAGGTTAAGGAATTAGGAGGAATGTTTTTTGATAGCTGACCGATTGAAGGGTAGCAATCATCTCCACAATCTTTTTCAATTGATCTGAATTTGAGGTGTTGCTGTCTAGAGTGGATAGAGTATTTTTCTCTCCCTGTTGTTTCTTGGTTTGACTCGTGCAAGTTTTCGAAGTCACCGATTCCTGGCTATTGACGGAGACGTCCCTCCTTGTTAGCTCGGTTTAGGAGAAAACCGGCTCTGATACTATGAAGAATGAAATAAGAATTTTTTTGTATTTCTTGATTGAATTGTACGCACTTATTACACCCTATTTACAGTACAATAATAAAAATAAAAAAAGGAAAAAATTAATCTTCTAATTTAGGATACAAGAGATTAGCCTAACAATCAACTTAAGTTATGGAAATATTTAATCAATTATATGTCAATCGTGATTAATCATTCTCAATCATATACCAATTATGATTAATCTCTCAATCATAATCAATCATATATCAATTATCAGAATTGACAGTCCTCAATTGTGGAGGTGGTGCAAGGACTTTGCATACTAAACAAGGGAAGTGATTTCACGGATTAGATATGAGAGTTATTTTTGTGTATTAATTTGGGACTTAGGAATGGTATGATCGCTGGAATAAACTTTTGGGTGGTGGATTAGCCCAACTGCACCATTCACTTATGGGTCCATAAGCTCTGTGTATGGTGACCTCTTCACTTTCATGATCTTTATTAACGAAACAGCATCATGGTTAAATTAGATAGTCTGTATATTTAAGCCTTAGAGCTACAATTATATAGTCACTAAACATGCTTAATGTTTCTAGTGCCAGGTTGTAAGCACATCTGTAAGTAGCAAAATATTACACCTTACTGGTTTCATTTGCATTTGAAGGTAAGAACTTGACTTTTCAGCTTTGGAGACATAGCATACCCTATCCAGTAATCCTTGCCTTGTGTAATGGAGACGTCATCTCTAAATAGTGCTCCCTGATGGTCTTGGCCTTGAGAGTGAGTATTATTCAGTTATTTCTGAATATTTAAGATCATGGTATTCGATTGTATTTAAGGGAGATATTAAGGCAATAAGCTATCATAAATGATGTGTTGTATGTCCAAACTTCAATTTAGACATATGTTACGGAAGTTGATAGATAAGAAGGGTAAGTTGCCACTTAGCTGTCAGTTTTCTATTTTAGGAAAGTTTTGAATAAGTGGTAATGCATCTCGAGCATAGTGATTATTATGATTGATTAAATGTGCAAGGCATGGTGATAACTCTTCAACTTTTTGAGATCAATGAGAGTTGCTGAAACTTTTCCCCTCATATTATCAAGTCTAGAACTTTTTTTTGCCTCAACAACTTAAACGGAAATGAAGCCATAAAGCTTAAATCGAGGATGCAAATATACACAAATTTTTTTTGTGGAAATGCTTTTGTTTTTTGAATTTCTCCCTTCTCCCAAATGAGAATCTGCCCAGGCCAGTGACCTGGTAAGGCTTCATGCTTACCACTTGAGCTGGGCCTTGATCCCAAGCGCTTGAAGGCTTCTCTAGGACAATTTTTTCGAGAATCAGATGAAGCAATTGATCCTTCTACCTTTGTTTTTGCTAGAGCTCGATAAACATTATGACTTGTGACGGGCTCAAAAAAACTCAAAAGTTTCCTGTGTACTTGGTTTATATTTTCCTTTGTTGTGTTTATACTTTATACGATTTTGTATGTGCTACATGTATTATTTTCATTCTGGCCAATCTCTCTTTTTATGGCATAGTTGTGTAACATATTAGCCAAATAATTGTAAGTAACCAATTTTTTAGTTCAACCCTGCAATTCCTGAATCATGAAATCTTAACTATATTTACAGAAAGTGCAAAACCTGATTTCTGCTGAATCTAGCAGGTGTGAAGGGGCCTTTATTGGACTTGCGAAATATTGTGTATAACATGTTAGGCATTCTGAGTTCATCTGCATGCAGTTTAGCAAGTGACTATTGATTTTACATTCTGACAAAATCTCTTTTGTCGATATGAAAAAATACAATATTCTATATGCGGAGAAGCTTTCTGTTTGTATATTGTAGAATGTAACTGAGAATTCTGTATGAAATGTTTATTGCACCAAAGTTAATACCATCTGCAATTTTAACCAGCTTACCCATTTTTCTTTATATATATTGCCACGAGATTGAAGCCGTTTTAGAATATGACATTCTCTCTGTTGTTCTGCTTTTATTACAGATTTCCTGTTATAGCCTATTTGCAGCAAATATGGTGGTTTGAAGTAGCTGGTGGGGTGAAGTTTCCTTTCAATCCAGATATATATACTTTGTCATTTAGGGTTCACCTTGGAAAATTTTCCAAACGACTTGGACGCCGTGTTTGCAATTTTGAGCACACTCATGGTTTGGATATAAAACCAGTACGGTTTGAATTATCTACTTCAGATGGTCAGCAAGCATCGACTGAGTGCTTCTTAGATGATACTGAACAAGATGGTGCAAATGGGAACCACAAGCGGGGCTGCTGGATAGATTACAAGGTAGGCGAATTCATAGTTAGTGAATCTGATCCTGAGACTGAAGTGAGATTTTCGATGAAACAGATCGATTGCACGCATTCCAAAGGTGGACTTTGTGTTGATTCTGTGTCGATTATTCCCAGTAATGTAAGAGAGCGTAGAGGTGGGTTTTTGAAGTAACAATGATGTGTATGATCTCAACTCATGGGCAACCATGAAAGCTCACGCTGGGATTTATCGTGCAGCTTATACTTCTTGAAACCGTTGATAGTTGGAGGATATAATCTAAAATGTTTTTGCCGTAGGTTTGTGTCCTCTATCCATGTATTTTTGTTGGTTTTGTAATCCATGCAGTTTTGCTGCACCTACTTGTGCTGAACATCAAGAAAATGTGCTATATCTGTTGCATGATTTTTTTGTTGCCAAATACAGTTTTTCTTTAATGAGATTCAAAACAGGTACATATCTATACATGAACATTACCAGGGACACTGTTACTTCATAAGTTCCTCCCAAGTTATACATTCACCCCATAAGAGTGAAAATTTTCCTGCTTTTTTCTTTTCAATATTATGGTTCAGAATATATTATGCATAGTCCGTGCATTGATGTCAAGTTTGCTATTGCATCCAGCAGATTTATGTTTTTTGGTGGCTGGGAGTACTCTCACATTTAGTAATGTCTTGTGTTATTTATAACGGATCCATAGTAGATTTGGGTACTCGCCTCCAATCATTAAATCCGTTTAGGAGCACGGAGGGTGGCCATAACTCCGTACTCAAACCCCCTAGTTGGAGCCTCTGTACATCCACGTCTTCTCCCTTCTACGTGAGATAATTTTCGGTGAATCTTTCAAATAAAATTTTGGCAGATTTTGATAAAATTTAATGAAATATATGGTTGAAAAGTTTATAAAAGTAATTGATCTCATGAAATGCGTAGTTATAATTATTTGTTGATTTTGACCTTAAAGTTTTAGGAACTTTTTAAGTTATCCCAAACAAGTAACTGACTTCAATTTATCAACTCTTCATCTCAATTTGCACGTAGCCACCTCACAGTGGGGAAATTTCAAGATCGTCTCTACCATATGTGCATCATTTACTTGCATTTTCGCGTCTGGCATGAGTATTACACGATAAAATGAAGTGTTGAATCAAATCGCCACTTTAGACACTCATGGTAGGATAAATAAATCATGGAGATTCGCAGCACTCTGTACCATACTTTTATTACTCGTTGCTCGACTAACTTATTATTGGGGGGCTAACTCGACTAACTTATTATTTATTAGGGCTGTTACTTCTTTAACTTGTAGAGTGCTATTTCTACATTATTTATTAAAATCGCGATGTTACAAATATTGCAAAACGAAAACATTGAATCTAGTATCTCATTGTACTATATTACTTCATTGTAACCGAATATTTACAGTATTAAAGGCAGAGAAAAGGCACCCTATGTTTGGGCTTGGTATATCAATGTTGGACGGTCCAAATTAATACAATTCTATAGATATGTCCTTGACAAGGGAACTGTTTTAATTGTACGATAAGAAAATGGGCAGCTCTCATTTATAACAATCTAGTTGATAATTTATATCTTTTTTATTACTTTATCTGCTTCTTGCTATCACCAGTTTTGTAAGATGCATCATACTTTAATTGCAATAAAGGCCCTCAATCTTTTTTTGTTAGCCCACTTAAGTTCTCAACTATTTTTCGTAGCAATTATATTTATATATCAACCTTTGAATAATTAGCACGATGATTTCTGTCCAAAAAAATTCATTATGAGAGCATAATAAGACTTATTTGTCCGTCATATAAGTTTAAATAAGCAAAAGAAAATAACATTTTAAAAAAGAAAATAACAAATACAAAAGTTGGATAAAATATTTATCCATCGTTTCAAAATATTTGGATAAAAAGGGTCATCTAGGACAAGATGCACTACTTAATTGAAAGTCAATGATTAAATTGAGATGAGAAAAACTTGAGAACATAAGTGCGACAATGAACAAAGATTAAAGACCTTCATTGCATCTAAAATGTGGTAGGACGAACAAAAATTATAATATGCTACAGAATCAATAATTTGTTGATCAAATCATTATAGATCGTGATTTCAATTTTGGTTAACCAATGAGTATTGCCAAAATTGTCGAATATCATTCTTCGTCGATAAAAAGTCAAATCCAATGAGCTGCAGGCACGAAAATGATAAAATCCAGGGGTTCAAATCCCTCTCCATCCGACTCAAGTTTGGTTTTACTTTTATAATATTAACGTACGCCTACCACTGGTTGCCTCACTTTCCTGAAAGTAAGAAGCACCACAATATTCTTATTATATGAATGAAATTTCCATGATAATTGGACCATTCAGTGCTCAATTTCACCTTCACAATTAAAAAATAAAATTCGATAACATGATTACATTATATTGATCTTATACAAACTATTTTTTCAACAAATTTCATGAAACCCAAGTTACAGTAATTCTTGGAGTATACTCCCTCCACACTTAATCATGTCTTAATTCACCCGAGATTAGAGATATGTTAACTTGTGAAGTCTAATTATTGTCGTTTTGTGAAAATGATCGTGGATTAACCTCTGCGATGAGGTCGCCATGGGGTTGGAAGGGGGGCAGGAGAACCCCTCCCGAGGGGTGGAGCCCCAGACCAAAATTTCATTAAGGATTGTTTAGGAATTTGCGTTCTTATAAAATTTTACTAAGGAATTGGAGTTTTTGTAACATTTGGTTTTGTCATAATTTATCTTATAAATAAGAAGTTGTGCTTAGATTTTATTATTATCAGAGAGACAGAGAGANTTTTTTTTTTTTGCATCATAGTGAATTACTATCACAACGGAAGATGACATCGTCTCATATTGAGGCGAATCTTTATAAATTTTGTGTATTCTTGAGTGTTTATTTTTCTTTCTTTGAATTGATTATTCTCGGTGGAATAAAATCAGGGTTTATAATTCTCGACAACATATACTCTAGTTGTCCACTTAACTAATTGGTTGTGGGTGAATATTAAAATGTGAATTATACGAAATGTACGAATGAAAAGTAGCTTAAATTTGTAAGTGTTGCCATAAACAAGTCATTAGCTTTTTAACAAAATCAGGAGGAGGTTCTAACTATGAGCTGTATATCCTATTTTTGCTATTGTAGGTAACACAGTTTTATGAATGGCAACATCTCCTCAACGCTCATTTTCTAGGATCTGATTATAGATCCAACCCCATTCATTGAATGCAGTTGCAGAGAAAGGAAAAGGATGACGCAACTGCCAAAGAGAAGGGTTCATATCAGCTTTGTCAATCCCACTTTAATTTACCCTCTTTTTGGTGCTTCTTTAACCATGTCATTTACTGATGCTGTTAAGACGTGCCAGGCTCTGTACTGATTCTATGTTTCCTTCTTAAGAAGCCCACTTCAGAGAAGAAGAAGATTTAGTGGGGTGGGGTGGGGTGGGGTGAATAGCAAGCAGTACGTACTAGGGAGAAGAAACTAGTCAGGAAGAAGCGTGAGAAAGGGAAGGCATATGTCAGTGGTATAGGGCAGTGGTTTAAAGGGACCAGATCGAGACCTTTGATTACCATTTTCATCTTCTTCAAATTTAACCGACAATCTTCTCTTTTTCTCTCACACACAACACCTACTCAGACTTCTGCTACTATTTATCTTACAAAACCTTGCGTCTTTCTTTTTCATATGTGAACACTTGGAATAACTTGTTGCACCCTTAAAGCTTCTCATATTCACTTTGTTGCATAAAAAAGGAATTTCAAATCTTCAACTTTCTCTGCGCGTTGTGTACTGTGTGGTCCAGTTCTCCATTCTACCAAGGCTATTATATAACGCATACAGATTTAGGGTTTATATTTGCTTGTGGGAAGAGGAGGAAAAAGATCAGAGAGTTTGACAAAAAAAGAAAAGAAAAATGGATTGGAATGGTAACCTTAGAGTGCCTTTCATTTCTCGTCCCGATAGTTCTTTCAGTGTCCTCCACAACTATAATTATGATCAATTTCCAGGTTAACCACCGTTCTTTTGTTCTAGGACAACGTTAAAAGATCAATATTTTGTGCTGTTTTGTGTTCATAGGCTTCTTTCGCCGTGTTTCTTGATGGCCTGATACCTTTTGCACACTGCTTGTATACGTACCGTGTTTCTAATTTCATTTTTCTTATTGTCGCTGTCCTAAATGGGATTATAGTTTAATCGATATAGTTCTTCCTTCGATAATGATTATTTTAGAAATTCTGTAGTGAGGTGATGCCAATACATAATTCCAATTCTTTTTACCTGAATGCATGAAGAATTCTAATCTTGCTGTCTTTAGTTATGGGTGTTTAAGATGTCAGATTAATCTGATCTGTAAATTTAAATTGTCTTCCATTGGTTAAAATTTGAAAACATCAACTAAAAGTAATAGTAGTTTCTGGTTGCCTTCATTCTGAGCAACTTTCTTGTTCGATCTTTTTCAGGTTTAGAGATGAGACAATTGATGCAGACACAACATGCAGTGCTCCCGACGATGGACAAGAACGACAATATAAATAATTATGGAAACCAGGACAAGAAGAAACGATTAACCAATGACCAGTTGGAGTCGCTGGAAAACAGTTTCCAAGAGGAGATTAAGCTTGACCCTGATAGGAAGATGAAGCTTGCCAAGGATCTCGGGCTGCAGCCGCGCCAGATTGCGATTTGGTTCCAGAACAGGAGGGCTAGGTGGAAGACGAAGCAGCTTGAGAGATTGTACGATGCGCTTAAGCAGGAGTTCAATACAGTGACCAGAGAGAAACAGCAGCTCCAGGAAGAGGTTAGTGTAGTTGCATAGCAATTTCATTTCTCTATGCCCATAGTTATGCAAAAGACTCGAGTTTCCATGTCGAAAGATTAATGCGTGCGCGGAAGTCCAATTCTGTTTTTATTTTTGACTGATATGGACTTTGTTTGCACATCTTCATCAAAAAGTAACAGATTCGACCAAAAGTTCAGTTTATTGGTCTGTCTGAGTATGTTTTTGGTTCGTCATACAATTTAATCGACAAAATTTTAACATTTTTTCTTCATCTCTAACATCATCCAACACTATACAAGTTTCTAACTTGTCTATTTGTTTCCATTCCAATTGCAAGGTTTTGGCATTGAGGGCAATTCTCAAGGAGCAATTGACAAAAAAGCAAACCTCTACAGGTTACACAGAAGTTTCAGGCGAAGAGACAGTCGAAAGCATTTCGATTCCAATCTCATACAAGCCTCGAGGGACGAGTATTCGTCATCAGATTGCAGAATGCAACTATGTCCTAAACATGGAAGACTATAATCCTATGATGCCTCCATATTGGGCTGCTCTCCCTTCTTGTCCTTAAACTCTATCTATATTGTTCATACTTTGCTTTATAATTCTAGTTCAGGTCCTATGTTCTAAGGCCCTGTTTGTCATCCTTTAAAAAATTAAATTATTTGCTACATATCATTTCTCCATCACACAATAAAATATTCTACACACAAACCAATAAATTTTCCTTATTTTTTAACTACACATTCTCCAAAAAATACTATTCTATAACTCATTATTCCCAATTAAATTCTATCAAAGTTGCACTAAGTTCTAACTACTTTTACTTTTTAGAAAATAGGAATTAATTGCTCAGTGTAGATTTAGTTATAACTTTTAATGTTGAAGTTGCCCATCTTTTAGTGACCAACACTGCTTTATCCATAGGCTGCTATTATTAAATATTAATGATGTTTAATTTCTTGAAGTGATAGGCATCATTTTAGAACTTAAAAGTCAAATGTGAAAGAAAATAATGGTATGATGTGTAGCTTTTGTTATTAAGATATTGTGGCCAATTACTTAAATTGCAATATAACCAGCTTATTATCTTAAGGGCTGTTTGGCAATGACTTCTACTTCTTGTAGAAGAACTTCCAGTATCTAAGTTAGCTTTCTCTAAAAGTCATTCTAATCAAACGGAACATTTTCAAAAAATTATCAAAACATGTTCAAAAACAGATTTTGACATTTCAAAAGTTTTCATGGGCCATTAGTTTACTAATTCAAGACCATAAGTACCATTCTGACTTAACCAAAATATTGTTAACTCTACAATTTGTCAACAAGTTTTGCAACAGCAAACTTCTGTTTACCAGATGAACTTGCTTTTTTTTTTTTTTTTTTAGTGTAATGAATATTCTCTCCTTTTTGCTGTTGTGCAATTAATGAAATAAACTAAAAATAATTTTTTTGTTAAAGTATAAGATTTTATAACTATCGATATCAAGTTCATTTTTTTTTGGAAATCCTATCACAAATCTAACGAAATAGGAGGAACAAACAATTTTTTTTTTCAAGAATGAAATTTTGTCGCGATTATTCATATCCGATTCATTATGGAATTAACAAGAAGATATAAATTATTAGATTGGACAATAAGGAAGAAAATTGTGGAGAACACAAAAATGAAGTAATTGTTAGATAAGTTTTTCAAAAAATGAAAAGTTAGTTGAATAAAACAAAAATGTAGCAAAATGTGGACACTCCTAAGAGACCAATTTTGCCCCTTTCGGTCCGACATTCGTGTACGCAGGTCGCGCTCGCATACGAATTCAAGATCTGAAGCCTATTTCGAAGTGCAAATCACGGATCGAAATAGGTTTCGGACCTTGAGCTCGTATGCGAGCGTGACCTGCGTACACGAATGTCGGGTCGAAAGGAGCAAAATTGGCCCCTTAGAAGTGTCCACGTTTTGCTACATTTTTGTTTTATTCAATTGACTTTTCATTTTTTGAAACACTTATCTAACAGTAAATATCAACAGTGCTTGACAGTAACATCAAGCTTAAGAATAGCCCTCAAATTAGGAATATCCAACATCTCAGTAGTCATAATCCCATAACCTCTCACAAACCTGAAATAACCAGTCCCAGAAACTATAGAAAATTCCCTCTCCTTCATGGCAAAAAGATCAGCCCCTTGAATCTCCAGAGTGCTTCCTTTGTAGGGTCCCTCAGTAAATATAACTGAAAAAACCAAGTGCAATCCTTTACCATCCAATTGAGAGTTGATGTACATACCTTGAGCTCTACCAATCTCTTTGGACTTTGGGTCCGGGCCTTCAGTAACTGGATCATCGACGGCTAAAAGGGTTCCGAAGTGTAAGATGCTGGTAGTGTGCCCATCTTTTCCGGCCACTGTAACGGCGGAGGCGTCGTCGCCAGTCAAGTAGTCGTGTACGTAGAAAGTGAGTTTGGTTTGGCGCCTGGGGAAGTTGAAGGCCCAGTAAAGAATGGGTAGAGCTATGAGAGGTAAGAAGGAACTTGAGGGGAAACTGAAGAGATTAGTCATGAATATAATATTTCAATCTGGGAAAGATGGAGATTAAGGAAATCTTGGGTTTGATTGAGATTTATTATGATATAAAGATGCTTAGCATCGAAATTAACAATGTTCTCTGAAGAAAATGACAAAGGAAATTGAAATAATCAACACTTCATTAAGAATTAATTATGTATTATCAGACATTTTGGGTTCTTAAACTAATATTTATCTGGTTTGAGATCATGTCCCACCTCAAAAGTTGGAGGCCAGCTGACCAGGACAGGTTAACCAAAACGTTATTTTTGAGTTACACAATTGGACAATCAAGAATCTAAATGCACTTGATGTCCTAAAGATTAGAACCATATTGGGAATTAAATAATGTGAAAATTGAAATGCTCTGAACCTGCCTCCGCTTGTAGTAAGAAAAATTAAAACTTACCGACTTGAACAACCCGAAGTTAGAATTTTTCTTGATGTACAGAAAAAAATAGAGATACTTCACATGGGGCGGGTGGGCCCCACGTGAGCCCCATGTGAGTAAAAAATTGATAAAAAAAAACCACCCACCCCTCCTCCCATTGTGTCCATTCTGGTGCATTTCTGTGACTGCGTTTTTTATACGTGTAGTGCAGTTCTCGAAGTTATCCTACGAATGCTCAAAAGCGTGTCAGGAGATCAACACTTGTTTAGCAACTGTTTGACCATCATTATTTGTAGAAAATAGAGTTTTGAATAGTAATTTTTTTTGAAGAATGTATATTGTGATATTGATGACTTATTATAATCTCAATTATATTTAGGAGTTTCTAATGTTTCAATTATATGTTTGAAACTTTGATCTTGTTTGTAATAATTTTCCCAATAAATTAGAGTTAATCCCTTCTGAATGCTCACGTGAACATCCACGCCCTTAGTGACGAGAAATCCTTTGTTTCCTCTTCTTTTAATTTTCCACACTTGATTTTGAATCCTTGATAACTACCTGATTGTAACATGACAAAAATTAAAAGAAGAACGTTTAAATCAGTTAATTTGTTGAATTCACTGGATGTTTTAACTTGAAAACATTAAAATATGTCCATCTTGAAGTTCGTTATATGTTTTTAAACCTAAGATATGATACTAAAAGAAGCGGTAAAAAGATGTCATGAGCTAGGATGTCGCCCGATTTTTGACATCATATCCTTCATCACCTTTTATTGTAAAAAAAAAAAAAAAGAAA